AGCCTCGTTTTTAGGATTAATTTGATACCAATTCAGAATTGGCTCTATTTCAACTTCCATTCTTTTAAAAATTAAAAAAATTTCCTCTCGTTCTAATATTTGAAAAACTGCAGGTTAAGTTTTACCAATAAGATAATTACTATTGAACTGGAGGTAAAAGAGGCTTAATATATCTTTAATGAACGATTGTAAAATTTTGAAATTTATAAGTTTAGAAACTTCAAAAGATTGAAAATTTTAAAAATTTTTGTAAAAATTGTACATTTCAGAAATTTTAAATAACAATTCACAAATGACCGTAGGATCTTAAAGATCAATTCACAAATGACACAAGCTCGGTGCTTTAATTTACGACCTCGCTATATCGCTTCGACAAACTATACGTTGCGACGAGGTTGATCTCTCAGGTATGCGCTTCCTTTGGAACGACTTTGACAGGTATTTGAATAATAGGGAACTGACCTTTAAATTTATGGAATGCTTCAAGAACAGAGTCGTAAAGTTCTAGAATACCCGATATTCGTCAGAATAGCTAGGTCGTAAACTGTATTGTCACACAGGTACAAATTAATTTCAGATATAATTGTCGTGGGTATTTTTGCGGTTTACCGCAGATGTGAGGAATTATTCGCTTCTGAGGGAACGACGGGCTAAGAGTGATTTAGTCGGAGGGAAAATTACCAAAGACATATATTGCAAAAGATAAAAGCGAAAATCGATTTTAGGGAGTAATCTCGTTTTTTAACCCTGGAGTGCTAACATTAATTTTTGTGATATTTATTTTAACATGAAACACACTGTACAAAAATTAATATTTGTACTTTGTATTTTACTAACATTATTAACATTGAAATTCTAATAATTGTTTAGAATTTAAAAAAAATTAACGAATACACATTTATTGAACCTAATGATATTTTCAAAGTGAAAATGTAAAATGAAAATTTATGTATATATGAAAAAAAAAATCTTTTGGTATAACTGTATTCTCCATGTTAATGTTCTAGGATTAAATGCAGATGGAAGTCTATTTTGGAAGCTTTCAGAACACCCTGTAGAGACGATACGGATATAGAGAAGCGGGTTAAATATAACATTATTCTCCTCAAATATCTTGCTTATTAACGTGAATTATTTTTAGCGGCACAAATTGGAGGTTGATCAACAGCGTCCAAAGTCCTGATAATCGTGGCGGTAATAATCTCCAGAAACTTAAACTCGGCAATAAAACTGTCCAATTATCTCGATAACGAGAATTCGTGCGCGCAAAGAAGCCGCAAAACCGTGAGGATTTAATCGCGAGAAAATACCGCAGAAATTAATGACGACTTTCTCCAGTGACGATAACAGATAAAGTTTTCGATAAGTAGAATCGATTAAAGGCACGGTTAAACCGCGTGAAATGTTTAGTCGATTCTAAGTGGTTTTATGTAGCGAGTAATAATTTTCCCGGAAATACGAATTAAGAACCTCGATCTTAACATATAAGAACGGCAATTACACTTTTTAATTCCACCGGCTGCTGAATAATCCTCGCTTGATGATCGATCAATTATTCCTTTATTTATACGTCCAGTATCACCCAAGCATTAAGTTCGCGATCGCAAGGATCATTAAGAGCGCGGCAAACAAATTAGTAATTATTTAATAACGCAACTTATGTTTTTCTTTCTTTTTATACGTCGTTAAAAATTCGCAACCGTTTGATAATTTTTTTAATTGAACTTTCGATAACACGCTGTTCGCGTTGTTTATTCGAGCAACTTACAAAAGAAAAGAAAAATAGTCAGGTCAAAATTAGATGAAATCTTCAAAGTTAATTAACATTTCTCAATAATGAAACACCGTGTTAGAAAGTATCAATTTGTTGGAATAGAAAATAAATAAATTTTTATATTCTTTTTGTAAAGTTTTTAGTTTTAAAAAAGATGCGAAATCTTATCTGGAATTTTTTCAACAAAACATTCAACAACACGTTTCGAGCAAACTTTCCGGTAATTCCCCTTCCGTGAAATATTGTAACGATTCGATAGATTTTTCCGTGAATCGAATTCACATGCAGATAAAACACCGATAAGTGGGTGTCGTGTAAGTGTTGAAAGAGTTGTTCGTAGTTTCAACTTTTACAACATTGGCTCATTGCCCGGCGATCTTTTGAGGACATGGAAACGCGCCTTCCTCTCTTCCTTTCTTTATCTCCCTGGCATCGAGGTGTCACGGAAATAGCGAACCAAACAGGAAACACAGAAGTCGAGAGACACGCTTTGAAACACGAATCACGTTGGTTCTCGACGTCGAAACGATTTCTTTCTTCGAACTGAAAACAGATGATTGTGGTTAGAAACTTTCGAGTATTTTTTCTTTTTTTTTCAAATGTTAAAGCACAACTTTTATACTTGAAAATTCTAAGAACACTTTTCTCTATGTTCCTGTAAAATTGATAATAGAGGCTTCAAGGAAAACAGAGAAAGTTCAAGTCCTCGAAGATAATTATCTGTGTCGTACACGTTGGACAAATTACAGCGATGAAAGTTCCACAAGGCCAGCATTTTTCCTCGTGTCACATATTGGCTATGGACATTGTCATTTTAAAACATTCATTACGCTGAATAAAGTGTTTTTCTTTTTATATTTAACCCTGAGTCAGTCTGGTGATGTCTGACAAACCCAAATAATAATTCTCATTCAGCTTGCAAAGTCAAATCTTCCATTTTTGCTTTCATTACATTCACTTGATAAGTATTTTTTTAAATTATTACTTTTAAATTGTTATTATTGCATACATGTAGGCACTCTTCGATAACAGATACAACATACAGAAGACAGGAAAAAAATAAAAAAAAGAGTTGTTGCGTAATAGATTGAAAGCTTGATTTCTAAAAAGAGGCATTTGTGTTGCAAGAACAATTTAAAGAGTGACTAAATCTCGCTACACGTAGAGATTACAATGAGACAAGTGATTTGTACAAACATTTACGTGATTTTGAAAACAAAAATTGAATTAAGGTCCCTCAGACATTATCAGATTAATGTTAAAAAAAAAAGAATCATCAGATTAACGCAGAAGGAAATTTCGCAGTATTAACGCAGAATGTTCTGCAAGTTTTACTGTGATAAAAGTGATGGAAACAGCTGGTTCGTTGATAATTTCTAACAAGAGATCACCTGGCGCGAAACCGGCTGACACGGTTTGGCTTTTCGACACGTGGCGCGTTTCATGCGAGAGGAAACGTGTTCGTTCCCTGGGATTTTTACGCGATCTGCCGTGTCGCGAAGTGAAATCACGTTCTCACGAGGTGAAGAAGCACCGAGAAAGCAATCGTCGCTGCATGGCGTTGAAACAGGATCTGTGCGTGAACCGTTGATAACGTTTTCTTATCAGTATCTGGCGAAAAACGAGAGCCAAGCTTTGTGTCACTCTTCCTGCTGCAATTTCTCCCCTTTTTTTTCTGCATTTAAAACAGTTTCTTTCTTCCTCCGTGACTTTTTTTCTCAGACATAGTAAACGAAAAATCTGAAAATGAAGTAACATTGTCAACGCTGAAAATTATACTGAAGAATGTGATAAAAAAAAAGTTGAATAAGAAAAAATATCAATTCAATAGTTCTTTTCTTTTTTTTTTTATATTTTTCACAGTATCCCAAATTTTATGGTGTATCGTACAAAGTACCGCCAGGTCAATTTTATTCGATCGTCCATCATTATGAGTTGTTCATTCAGCCAAAGTTGCTTACGAAAGTAGTTTCACGCTTGAAGTGAAAATTTCATTATCCACGCGTGCAGTCCCTGTACGCTCTTCGCGACAACTTCAGACTCATCATCCGGAAACTTGATCTCTATAAATAGTTGTCACGAAACAATTATCGCTAACGGGCGTTTAATCACTGGTGCTACTGAAAATCACGCGTAAATACACGTTTTGAAGAACGTTGCAAAATCTGTAATATTATCAAGGAATAAATATATAATGATGTTCTTATCGAACGGTTCTTTGCATGGCCCCTCTTTTTCAGCTTGTGTTTTAATACGTGACAAACAAGGGACATGCTAAAATCTCATTTGCAAAATATTTTCATATCAGATGTAGAAATCGTTAAAGATAAATCGTAAATTAAAATATAGGATTGAATTTCAATTGATAATTTCAGAAATGTTGAAAAACATAACCTACGTAATTCTGTGAATTAATAAAGAGAAACGTCGTAAAATATTCACGGTTTAATATAATCCTTTGATATTATGTACACGAGGAAAAGTCTGATTTACGTGCAAACGTCGCGTCGGAAATTTCGAAATACCTGACCGAGACCCAAAAACTTCGTCCTCCCTCTTCTCTCCGACAACGCTCATAACGAGCTGCGGGAATTAGAAATAACAGTCTATCAAAGAAAACGAGGATGCGTAAATATCTACGAAAGATGAGACACGCTTGACGTCAAGAAATCTCTCCTCATCGGTGTCGTTCGACGAAGAAGAAAAACGTTCTCATCTTTTTGCATTCGATTGATAACAGCGTGTCTATCAATGAGTAGTAATCCATCAATGAAAAAAATGATCGATATACACGATTGACAGGGAACAGAGGGAACGGCACATTGTTGTTGTTGAGTTTCATAGCGAAAGAGGCTATTGTCATAGTCACGAGTGAGGTTAGTTTTGAGAAAGTCGATTCTCAAATATTGACATTTACAGAATTTTTCATAATTCGAGTAATTTAAAAACTCAATTATTAACATAAACAACTTAAGTGATTCGAGAATCGTTGAAATTCGAATGTAAAATTGTCAAGTGGCTCTTGACACTGTGAGACGCGTTAGATTTGTCTGAATCGAACTGAAGATCTCAATCTAATCGAAGTAACAATCGAAACGACGCTTAACAGCCAACTTCATGACGAACGAGTGCAGCATATATACATGGAAATCCTCGCGTCTCCTTTCCTTGTACCCCCTCTTTTTCTCGCGCCATCTCTCTCACTGTTTCCGTTTTCTTATTCCAGGGACTGAGAGATGTCCTCAGAAGGGTGTCGTGAAGCAAGTGGCTTCGAAGCTGCTAAGGGCGCTGTCCGAGAAAGGACTGGCCTTGCTCGTCAACCACGGCATTCCGGAATGCAAGGTACGCATTTCCATCGATACTCGTTCCGCGTAATCGCCGGATCAAAGAGCGACTCGAATATTACACGCATCCGGGGTCTCGCGTAATTACACTCCAGCCACGACGGGGCTAAAGAAACCAGTTAAAAAGTAGAGTCGTTCAAGTACTGGATGAAACAAAACTCAAGGTCGCCTTGAATATATTTATCGGAAGCTCCTTGATAAGTTTTCAGCTCGGCTGGATCGTTTGCATGATCTGAATATTCCTTGCGAATTGTTCGAACGTATTAGACGTGCTTCGATTAAAACACTTGTCACGATTCGTGGGGTAGATTGTTAATCTTTCGAGTGAAATTTTCGTATTTTGTGTACACTGGATATGCTTGACTCGAAATATTTGACGTGATGTAGAGGTTAGGTTACTAGTTGAATTATTAATTTTTTGGGTATTCTTACATTCAATTTGAATTTGCTACGCGATACTAAATTTTGTTTTTATTACTATAAGATTGTTTTCTATGTCAGTAATGAAATTGACTAATTCTGATAAAACGTAGTCGTATAAGTAAACTATGGTTTATCCGAGGATAAATTTGATTGTAACGAAACTTATCTGTCAGAAACGGTCGAATCTCGTAAAGTTTCTTGAGCCAGTATTCGAGTAATCGAGTTATCGCAAAGTGCTGTACAAATAATCGACTATTCAACGTTTGAGCATTCTATCAGTTTGGTAAAAGAAGTTCCCGACTCGAATTTCGGGTACTTGACTCTGTTCCATAACGGGAGCTAGCACCACCCTGCTTGGGTTTCAACCGCTTAATTTTGCGAAACAAATTTCACTCGACTCAGTTACTCGACTATTCGATTCGATTAATTAAAACATGTTCCTCTTGAGTTTCAAATATTTCATCTAACCTCACGAAACGAACTTTACGCAACATAACCTCTCCCTCCCCTGTAATAATAAAAGTACTCAAATTCCTCTGAAACAATAAATAGCTGTAATTTAAAACTAATCCAATTAATTAAGAACTTTACGGAGGAAAAAAATTTAATCATCCAGTTGCTAAAACAACTCTTTAAATAGGGACAAGTAGTTTTGACGGCCGCGCATTTGATCGTATTACACGCACGATGAAGTCTTACCTTGTAACGAAACTCGTGTCCTCGGTTGACTTACAAAATTACTGTCTCGCATGGAACCAGAATTAAAGGAGTCAAGGCGAAGTACAACGAAAAATTCGTCAGGGCAAAAAGCACGAATAGTGTAAGCTAAGTTCTACGTTTGGAAAAAGGGGAGAGTTGAAAGAGCGTATATTCTTGATCGTTCATGTATCGACAAACGATATCGACCTCGTTTATGGCGATATATCGTGATGAATATTCAAGGGTTCGAAGATAAAGCAATAAATGGATTTCGCGCGATGACCTTGCCGACGTCGCCAAAACCTCCTATCAAGGAGACGCGTTATCGGTGCAGAGACGGTTCGTTACATTTTCACGAGATAATTCACGCGGGGGTTATGACGTTAATGTTCCACTATAAATACGCCCATATATTTATCGCGTATCTTTACGCTATGACCGGCTCGCGTACAATGCGTTAATTCATTTGGTAAATACACACGCGCGTGCTCGTATCTACGCACGCTACACTCTTCGATGACAGAAATTGGGAAGGAGTGAATATGCGGAACGGGCTTCGAACTTCTACTTTGAAAACCAAAGCGTTGAAGGAAATGTTTGTTGTCCAATATTATAAATTAAATTTAAAAATTCAAATTTGAAAATTTAAATTTTAAATCTTTTTAAATCGGGATGTATCCGCCTTTCTAAAATAAAGACTTGTAAGATGAAAAATGATGATATCATACGGTGTCGAGTTAGAAAGAATCCGATGATTAATATTCAAATAAATTTGTGGAAAGAATGTTGAACACCTGTATGCCATACCGTCGGCTCTTTCCGTAAAGAATAAACAAGTTTTTCGGCACGCTTGATAGATTGTATCCGAGCGGCTTAACACTTTGTGGAATGAAGAAGCATTACTTAAGAGTGGCTCGACTTTAGAAGCCTAATTAGAAGTTGACCAATGAAGTTGTTCATTGAAGAAGAGGAAACAAATAAATCGAGCGGTTTTTTTTTATAAACGCGCGTCAGTGGTACCAACGCAAAATAAAACAATTCTATCTACCAAGATACTTTGCTTCAGAAATTAATTAATTTATCGAAGAATCAAACAGGTTTATCCCTAGAAATTCTCATTCCCAGAAATAACACAAACACCAAATCTATAGAAAAATTTCCATTGCTAATCAACATAATCATCCTATTACAACATTCCTATAGTAGATCTATGAAAATCCCCGACGTCATTCCTGCACAAACATCAGATTTCAAGCGTAATTCTCCAGATAGACAAGGAGAGCCAGTCAACCGGGTAATTCCGTCGTAACCCCAGGAATTATTGGCCATACCTTTGTAATTCCTTATCAAACATTGCACAAGAGGAATATTACAACATCGATAATAGCTAGGAAGCCAGT